GAAACTCGACGCGAGTTCCACGTTTCCGCCACGTTTCGGCGTCCACCGTTTCAGGCTCGAGCTCTCTAAATTTCTCGAAGTAAAACCTCACTCCGTACGAGTGGGAATTCGCTTCGAGCGATAATGAAAATAATTAAGTGCCGCCACTCGGGATAAAGTGATGTTTAACTTTCCACAAGATTGAATGTCCCACTCCAACCGTGTGAATGTTTCACTCGATCGAAGTGAGTGCCTCATTCGATTGGCGTGAATATTTTACCGCAAGAAGAGTGGATTCTTTTAATTGAACATTCTTTGACACGTAAAATATCCTTATTTACTACGTTATTCCTAAGGTGTCATTAATATAATTTCTCCTCAGAATCTTCCCAACTACATTGTCATTTGGTCGATTGCATTTATATTGCATTTGACATATTCATTTGCCATTGTCTGAGTAAATTATCATCGTACGGCCATATGGCCTTACGAAAGCTTTATCCGATTTCCATATTTTAAACAAGGCCCGGATATACGTTGTCAGATCCGGCCCGTAATCACGAGCGAAACACACTGTTGTATCAGATCCTGACTAAATTACCTATATTCGGGAAACCTGATTAGACATCTGCACCAGAGTAGGCTTCCATAATGATATTGTAGCTTATCAGGATTGTAAAATCCGAGCTTTTACAGGTAAAGATAAATATATATGCTGAATTAAGCGCAGATCAAGATATCTAATTACAACAACACTTATATTACCTTATTGATACCCTATTACAACTAGCAAATTCAGGCTTTATAAGGGCTACTTACACCGCCATACTATAGCGTCCCTAATCATGCTCATATCAGGCTACTAGAATTTGCCGTACTTGGTTTCTGTTCGCGTGGCTATGTGTTTGAACTTCGGGATCTTGAGTCTGCTGCGTCTCGCAGTACGCCATCTCGTCTTGATTGATAAGTTAATTTCGTACTGTCTACAGTCACAAACTCTACAAAATTCCCTTCCTCTTTTCCGCTTATATTTTATAATAAAAATATATTATTGTTATATATATTAATAAAGTTTTGTAAATATTATTAATAATATTGAGAAGAGATGGAGAAGTTTTTTAAATATTTACATTTAAATATGCACAAAAAAAAATCTAGTTGCATTAGCTAGAAAATAAACAACCAGACGCGTTTTGGCTGAAGAAAACAGAATTTCTGGTTATAAGAACCATCTGGTTGTTCACTCTATCTGGTTAATACAATCAGGCATTTTTTCTTGTACGTTCCATGTGAAGCGTTTAAATTTCTCCATTGTTGCAATTCCCCCCTTTGGCATTGAAGAGACTTAGTTTTTAGGTTAAAAACAAAAAAAATTCATCGTTATGCTGCGTTCGGAAACATCCGCAGTGTGCACACTGCTAAACACAGTTGCTCTGAAACATTCGAACTGCGTTCGGAAACATCACTCATCTCTTTGATGTGCTTTGACTTCAGTCTCCGAAAATGTAACGTTACCGAACGCAGCCTGAAAGTGACGATAAAAGTAACGGTTATATTCGTTACCGTTTACCCGGAAAATTTAACTTCGTTACCGTTACAGTTACTATCGAAAAAAAAAAAAAACTCCGTTACCAAGTCGTTACTGATAAAAAGTAACTTGTGATGGTAACGCGTTACTTGTAACGCGATGCTTATATTTATAACCAACTCTGCCTATAACGTTCGCTGTTAGATCAGGTAAAATTCGGCAGGAAATGAAAATATTCACTCCACAGTGCACGAAGTGAATGAATACACTCTGTGAGATTGACAAGTCACTAAAAAAACCCGAGTGATTCGGTGGTAACTTCATTTTTCGAGTGGAACTTCACTCCACGACACCGGAAGATATTCGCTCCACGTCACATGTTGGAATGACTCGCCCCATAAGAGTGAAAAGTCACTACAATTCGAGTTACTTGTCGTGCGATTTTTCGAGGGGAGACCTCGCACCAAGAAATTCAAAGATCGTATCCGCGAACTAGCGCCTTCGATCTAGCGAGAGATTAATCATAATTAGAGGAAATGTACTCTTTCCCCCTTTGTAACGATTCTCCCGGCGCGGGCGCGCGTGTATTTCATTATCCGCAGTCATGATGGAGATATGAAGCTTTTACGCGACGGCAATGAGTAATACAAAATCTATCCGCGCGTCCGTTCGCTCAGTACGTACCGTACGTTACGTTCTTTCGTCCGTTGGTTTTCACGCGCGAGCGTAATTCGCGATTTTTCCCGCGCGCGTTCTTCCACGAGAATCCGAAATGAGGGAAACATGAGAATCAATCTCGCGGGTAAAAATGTATTCAGGGGTGTGCGTGTCTATTCCGGGTTGCAAAGATTTGAAAAATGTTCGTTTTAATGGTTGATGTTACGCGAATATTGGTTACCACCGAAGTGTTACGTGCCCGGCGTTGCAAGTAGCGGCACGTACCGACCAGAATATATATATATATATACACATCATAATATAGGCAATAAGATACGGCATGAATATACGTCGGGCGAAATCAAGTACGCATCCTGCAAAATGTAAATCCGCGGGGTCCCGAGTCTTGATCGTGCGAACGGCGCACGCTGATTCCTCGGAACGACCGTATTGTCGTGGCGGGCGCGGTTCACTTTTGCGCGCGTCCCGAACACGTTACCGGCGCGAATACATCGCCGCCTGATCGTCGTCGCCGGTAATTTCGCGTCGCGTTTTAGCTCGGCTCGGAACTTTTTAGTCAAATTGAGTAACGGATCGTGCATTGAATGCAAATCACCGCGACATTACCCACCGCGATAGGACCCAACCCTTCCCCGCCCCTTTCCCTCCTTTTTCCTTTCCATTTTTTTCTTTCCCCATCACCCCCTCTCCCCTCCCTTTTTTAGATAAAGTTGGACCAAACTTATGCGGCCAAAGTTATGCCGCGCGCACTCCCATGATTCCGCCCCGTCCACAGGACGCTCGGAAAAGTTTGCTTTTGACGCGGCAGGTTGCACGTGACGAATTCAAATCAGCCGTAAATACTTAAAGCAAACACTCGGAGGGGTACAAACTCGGTTTTAAAATAAAGCATTAGAAGCCCGACGAGCGACGGGGGGTAGTTAAGAAGGGCGGTGCGCGCTCGCTTGCCACCCGACCGCGGCCTTTCTCTCGCGAAGTTCACGGCGGGAACTTTGCGTAAACTCGCCAAGTTCGACGGTGAACTAGTTCATTGAACGCAAATTGTAACCACGATGAATGAGTCGCGGATATTTCGATTGCCCCGCGGGAACATCGACGAAATCGGGAACGCGATTCTCTGTACGCGCGGCCAAACGGACAGGATTCCGGAAAACCTTCAAGGTAATGTCTACGGCGGCTTTTACGCCCGATCCCGACGAAACACGCACCGCGCGGAGAGAAAAGAAAGGAAAATTCGTAGAAGCCGCGATTTTCCCCGGCGTGTTTCCGTTTGTTCCGCGGGATGCTTTTGATTGCGAAAGCGATGACGCTTATAATAGAAATGCAAAAGTGGGAAGTGCATGCTCGCAAGCTCGCGCCCGTGCGCGAGCAATCTAAAGCAACTATTTGGATTTTATTTCCTCCCCGACAAAGGAAATTGCCGAACTGCTGTTTGCAAGAAATTCTCGACAGTGTATCGGAAAATTGTTCTTGCACACACACACAGACACACATGTACGTGCACGACTAACGGTTAAAAGCAATACAAGTGGGGCAAATAAGTTTCGCCTCCGTTTTTAACTCGGCCAAGAACAGAGAAACCGCATTCGAACTTTTACATCTCCTTCGATCATACACCGTTGGAAAATATTGATTACTGTATGTTACACCGGACCGCGATACAACTTTCAGAGAATAAACTCGAAAAATATAATTTATAACGTTTCGACAGAAAGTCGAGATTTAATTTGCGAATTGATTAACGAGAGAAGTAATAGCTCTCGTACGGCTCGCGTTGAAATAATTGACACAGGTATTATATTTCGCGTTAACAGATGCGTTATCAACATAAGCATGCGGTATAAACATAGAAAAAATAGTTTTAAATCAATGATAAATATTTTCATATAATAATACTCTCATATTATTATAATAAATGTAATATTCTTATTTACATAAGAGAATATATCTGCACGGAAAAAAATTAGTCTTAAATAAAGAATCGATATTTTTATATATAAGCAAGAATATTATAACCTTTTCAGTCTTGAAATTCAAGTAAACCTTGCATCGATATGTTAAATTCTATCAAATCAAGACTGAAAATCTGCTAAAAGGATACTATGATATTCTTGCTTATGTATGAGAATATCTATTCTTGACCTGTAAGTTAATTAATTTTGTTCCGTATATTCTTGATTTGAGACTAATTTTTTTCTGTGCGGTAATACCCGACTGATAATATATCAAGCTATTTGATAACTAATAACGCGAGTAAAATTTTGAGTCCGACGAGGACGTGCGCGAGTAACGAAAATAAAAGTACAACGTGGCCGCATGACGGAGCTATTGGCACAACACCAAACGTCCGGCAAAACATGGAGTGAGTTTTTAATTCAGAACCGGTGGCGTTTGCCGGACCGGAAACCTAACAATCGCGCTCGAATCTCACAGGTTGTCAAGAGTGAACATTTCATCGGTATCTCGTGCTTCCCAGACTAATTCGCGACGGTGTGTGTGTGTGTGTGTATGTGTGTGTGTAGTGATTTTTAATTAATTATTCAAACGCATTCTCTCGCAGACGCCACGAATGATTCAATTTCGCGTACGACTCGCGATAAAGCATGTCAAAAATCGCAGAAAAATAATGGCCAAACGGCCGATTGGCGAACGCCGATAAGAGCTCGTCTAATATCATATGGATTTCATCAAAATACTTCGCCGTTTATCGTTGAGTCAACGATGTGACGTCACTCTATTTGTCCTCCCATTGAAAGCTTTTTCCCTCATCGAGGCGAAAAAAGGATAAAAAGAAAAAGATCCGTTCTCCACCTACCTCGCACGATGAGCTTGATCACAGCTTCCGGCGTATTCCGGTTGTTCACGAGACACTCGTACATACCGCTGTCGCCGGCGGTGACGGGATGCAGCTGGAGCGAATAATTTTTCAACGACATAGACATTCTGTCTCGAAAATGCCGGACGACGGTGGTGCTTCTGCTCTTATACTCGAGCAGCCGCATCCCGTTCGCTCGCCACTCGAGCATCAACACCAACGAATCCTCCGTCACACCGGGACAGCCCAACGTGACGGTCTTCCCAGCCTCGACGACCACCTCCTCCAGCGAATTCATGGCGTCTGCGAACACACAAGCGGGCCCTTCGTTACGTTTGTCGCAGCAGGCGTTATCGAGGCGATAAAAACAAACGCGAGTGTGGGATGGATGAGCGGCCGGATCGGCCGAGCGGAACGGACAGACGGACGGATGGGAAGGGTTCGCGAAATCGCCGGTTATCGATTCGGGATTTACCCGTGTCAGGACAATTTCAGCGTAGACGCGAATAAAATTCAAGAATGACCGAGCGTACACATTGACCTTACACAGCGCACACGTTATTCCCCTCCGCATGCTCGTAAGGTCCGGAAAGGGATTTTTTTTAAACCCGACCGCGTCGATTTTTCTTTCCAAACGAACGAGCGAGCGTAAGTACGCGTGTAGAGTCCCTAAAAGACAGAGTCCGGCCGCTGTAACTGTTTTGACAATAAAATGACGTCTATCGCGGAACACGTGCCCGGTAATACCGAATTATATATTGTTTTGAATAAAGAATTAGTCTTTATAGTAAGTAAAACTGTTACATCGTTTCTTGCAGTATTAAATTGATCGATAGTAAATTATAAATCATCATATTTCTATTTCATATTTACAACAGAAACGAACGGATCCAAATTAAAATTCTAATCTTACACGTACGGTTACTTTCAATGATTATTAATAACTAAAAATTTTGCGTGTTTACAAAATGGTACAAAAAATGAAAAAATACTGCTACGTCCAAGTAAATATTTACCGAGGAATATTGGAGTAGTTTATTTTATGTGGATTAAGTAAACGTTACTTAAAGGCAGCACTTTTTCCTTCCAGTGTGATACATTCAAATAATATTTACTTAATCCGAATAAAACTACTCTAATACTCCTTAACAAATATTTGCTTGAACGTTCTTTTTCCCGTGCAATTTTTTTCAACATAGAGAACTTTTCCGCTTAGTTTAACCGGTTCTACCTGCGCACGGTTACTCTATCAAAACTTTCCGAACATCCCGTATATTTTAGAAAACTCTTCACTTTATAAATTATATTCGTAATGTTATAAATTATATTCGTAAGCATGTTAATAAAATTATGCCATTTTTATATCAATTAAACACCCACGATTGTAATTTTAATTATTCTATCATTTATATTACTTTTCCTGTTGAAATTTGCCTCATTTTCACGTTAACCTCTCATTGGTTCCGCCATTTAATTACAAAGATTGACTCAGCCAATACGAACACGGACGGTCAATGGCCGGACTTTGTCTTCTGGGGGTTTTTACACGCGTACACGCTCCGCTTGCCTTCCTCATTCAGAGCGGTAAGTTTTAATACCTCGAAATCGCGCCCCCGACGAGCGAAAGAGCGCTTTAACCGCTTGTACACCGTCCGGGAGCCACCGCGACTCGCTCCGCAAACTATATCTCGCCTGAATACTTGAAGGGATTAATGTACGCGCCCAGCAACTACGGCTGCACCGTAGCTTCCGATCGACTTTTAAAATTTCACGTAGCCGCCGCCGGATCGTAATTTGCAACGCAAAATATGCGGCGCGCTCGTCCGTTCGTTCATTCGCTCGCTCGCTCGCTCGCGTTATGCCATATTGCATCACGGAATTCTCAATATGTCCGGGCGTCCAATTTTCTTTCTAACGAGTTCAATTTTTTCCTCCAACGGAGGCACCTTCGGTACACACCGGTGTACCGGTGCGCACGCACTATTGCCCTCCTGGATGGTGCAATATCGGCCGGAAAAATTTTTGCCGCGAAAATACACGCACGGACGGCCGGCCGGCCAGCCGCAAGGACGAAGGTCCGTGCGTGATTTCGCAAACATCCGAAAGAGATGTGCACGCGTGCACACACACACACACACACACTCATACCGTAGATGTATGTTACGATACAGCGGAGAACAGTGTGAACCCCGCAACGCGAAACGGCAAAATCGACGGGCACCGCGAAAAGCGGTAGGTCATCGCGAGGTAATTCACCAAGAGAGACTCTCCGTCCGCAATCTCTGGAAAAAGCCTTCGGCGTTCGGCGCGAACCTTCCGCCGGCATTCAGATCACGCGTGCGTATTCATACGTGCATAAAGTGCAAGTTCGAGTCTGCCGGGCATGTTTCTTCAGCGCGTCTTCCTCTATCTCTTCTCATTCTCTTTCTCCCTTCTCTCTCTCCCCCCCTCCCCCCTCCCTACTCTTAACATTTATATTCGTATGTTTCTACACATATTTTTCCGACACACCCTAAGCAGGCGGCATACAGCATTTATACGACATTTAGAAAGCAACATTCAAAATACTCGGCTATTTAGTTTCACTCGGAGACTTTCAGATTTATTTTAGACCGCCTGTAAAACTGCTTATTGTCTTCTCCGTCAATCTTTCTATCTTTTCGCATTAGTTTTCTCTAATTTCAACTTTATTATATCTTATTTAATTTACTTAATTTCTATTTTATTATTGTTATACATATTATATTTCGGGAATAATTCTTACGTTGTATCAACGTTGTATCACTGGCGAAATTCATCTCAGAGAGAAGGAGAAAGAGAATGCATAGTAAATAATTCTCTCTCTCTCTCTATTCTAACTACTATCCTCTCTTTCTCTCTCCTCTCTTTCTCTTTTCTCTCTCTGTCTCACCCTCTTCCTCTCCCTTCGCGATCGGTATAAATCACGCTTGCCCTTTGAACCGTACGCTGGACGAGCGTCTACGAAAACTCATTCGTCCGCCTTTTGCGGATATCGCGTTGGGCGATAACGAATTTGCCGTGAAATAATGTCCCCTCGATCCTCCGCGGGCGATAAATCTTTTTTACTCCTTTTCTCCCGCTCTCTTTCATTTACTCTCTTCCTTCCCCTCTCGAATTCCGCCTTTATCTCTCTGTCTTATTCTTCCTGGCGGTTCACGTGCGAAATACGTTCCGGCCGGGACTTCGGTAGGGATCGTATGTTCGAAATCGTTTTTTCAGCGCTAAAGATACACACGTTCCCCATTCGTACTCCAACTTTTAAACGAGCGAGCTTCATGACATTTAAAGATAAAAATGGATTTATATTGCGAGTTATTTGATTGATGAACCCGGTTAAGCCGGTTATCTTGAATTAGCGAGGTAAAGAGAGAAGGGGAAATGTATAATTCACTTTAATGTACAATGTGTTTTGCCGTGGAATCGTCTCGTCTTGTTTATAATGCATGAAAGATTTCCATTTTCAGCGCGTACAATCAATAAGGTGTCGCGGGACTCGTTTCTGCCGCCAAGTAGGACACTCTCTCTCTCTCTGATGAAATAAACCTCGATATTTATCGATTGATGAAACCAGGAGTAAAAACCGATCCCGGCCCGCATTTCCGTTGCTCGTTTTGCGGATCTCGCGAATCTCGTCACGTGGAAAAACACGTACCGCATATTCCCGGTTGCGGTGAGCTCGTCGCGAGAGAATAAACGATGCACTCTATTCCCGATTCCGACGTCATTAATCCAAATGACTGCGGGCGAAGTAGATACAGCTCGTGCGCGCACGATATCGGCCTGATTTCAAACTAAGTTCCTTCGAACGTAACATCAAAGTTACCGCGCGAGATGAACCGGCCGGCGAGACATCTCTCTCTCTCTCTCTCTCTCTCTCGCGTCGAAAGATATCTCAACGGAATTTTAAAGCATACACGTCGCTCTCCGCAAAGCTTCCTATACATCTCTAAAAAGTAGCGCGGATTCAGCGCGCGCTCTTCTTTGCACTCGACGTGCTGCTCCAATCCGCACGCGAGCACAGGAGGAATATGTGACCGCTCCGCGCCGATTAGCTCGATAGGATGCGCTTCTATGAATAAAAAAGTGCGGACGGGCGAAAGAGATGGCGAAAATGACGAGCAGAAACGAAGGCGAGCGCGGAATAGCGAGCACGCGGACAGAGCGAAAAGAGCAACGGAGGGGTTGGGAGGTAATCTGCAGCCGTTTTGCCGTTCGATCGTTTCGATAACCGCGCGGATCGCGCGAAACGACGACGACGGAGGAAGGGTAACAAGTGACGGAAAAGGAGGAAGCGGTGTGAATGCGCGCGGACGTAACCGCGCGATAACGATAACGCGCACGGCGGTCAACGAGGTATCGCGCGCCGTTCGTACGCGCCTCGGCGCCAGGACAATCGCGAGCGAGCTATACTCTTGTAAAATCTACGGACCGAGTCCGAGAAAATAAAACTGTAATTGCGCGCGCTCGCGTTTCGACACGGCGACGCGCAAAAAAAAGGAAGAATTCGCGAGCGGATCTTTGATACGCGCGCGCACGCGCGCGATCCGAATCCACGGGTGTCACGGCGATATCGGTTTTCCCCCGCATCGGGTCGCCCCATTCGACACCCCGCGCCAATTCCGCACGCTATTTCGCCGAACGATCCGCGCGAATTCGGAATAATAACGTCATAAACTTTCACGAGCTAGTAACTAATTTCCGGAGTCGAGCGCGCGCGCGAGTGTTCGCGCGAAAGCGACGCCCATATTCAGGCGTTGATCGAGCGAGAGAACCGCGAAATAACAGCCGATCGCGGAAAGATTCCGCACGTTGACGCGTGCTTTGGATGTGTGTGTGTGCGTGTGTGTGGACGGAATAACGTTTGTGCCTAATGCTCTCTCTCTCCGTTTGGAACTTCGGATTCGTAAGCGATATGACTCGGCGTACGCGAGAAGCGAGAGAGAGAGAGAGAGATGGATAGATGAATATATTTATTGAGTGCTCTAAAGAGACCCCCTCAAGCGCAGAAAAACATAACATTATTAATAGAAAATTTATAACAATCATACATTGATTTTAAGATTTTAAGATACTAATAATCAAAAACATTTATATTTAGGTATGTACTTTACACCCTTCGGGTACCCTTTCAGCCAACAGAAGCACAGCGCTACTGTAAATTTATTTAAGCGAGAGAGAGGGAGAGAAATGTTTATTGTAGTTTTAGGTAAGGTTACGCCGTAGATTTTAAGATTACGTCGACAGGGATAATTTAAGTATCGTTAACATGATGTTTAC